GGATTAGCTATTGAGCTTATCCCATTGTGCATATCACTAAATTGGTATTTCTTTGCCACCCACAGCTTTCCTACAAATCAAAAAGGTGTGTTTTGGTCATCTGAGCCTTATTACAAGTGGGTGAGAGATTTAAATCAGTAAAAGCAAAACTTAAAATGATAAGTCTATTTTCTGTGTGAAGGAGCCCACTGACTCTGAACCAATATTAATATATGTAAGTAGAGCAAGTCCTTTTCCCCTCTATGCATTTATCCAATCTGGTAAAACTCAAAAATACAATTCTAGAACCTTCTTTCCTTAAAGAGACCTGAGACCCTGTGCATGTAGAACTCCATCTCCTCTCTTTTGGGCTCTTCCTCTAGTCCTTTTTCTTTTCATATTTCCTTGATAACTTCAGTTAGTGCTGTAGGTTGTTGCATTAACAAGTATTTATTGCTTACAATGTGCCATGTGCTATGATGAGCCCTGGCAAAACAAATAAAGCAAAAATAGTACTTGCCCTCAATGAGCTGACATTTCAAAGAAAGAGCCAACATATAAATAAATAGGTATATAGAAAACATATACAAAAAATGTATATTAACCTTATAAGGGAAGGCTCTAGCAGCTGTTCATTTAAAACACTCACTATTTAATTAAAACTTCTGGTCGTTACAAAAACCCTTTCTGTACTTGGGACCTTTTGTTTGGAACATAACACCATTAAATTCTGTTATTTAGTGGTAACGGGTGTCCTGACCTGAGCTATCCATGATGGTTCATCCAAGCTTCTTACTCACTGTATGCAATGCCAAGAAAGAAAGAAAGAAAGAAAGAAAGAAAGAAAGAAAGAAAGAAAGTAAGAAAGAAAGAAAGGAAGGAAGGAAGGAAGGAAGGAAGGAAGGAAGGAAGGAAGGAAGGAAGGAAGGAAGGAAGGAAGGAAGGAAGGAAGGAAGGAAAGAAGGAAGGAAGGAAAAGAGAAAAAGCTGGCTATGTTGATTAGTATAGTCTAGTGATTGTCAATCCTAAATTGGGTTTTAGAACTAGAAGGGCTCTTAGAGATCATCTTGTGAAGTCCAACCCTCTCATCTCACAGATTCAGAAAATGAAGCCAAGATAAATGAGTCAAGCAAGGATTCATTTGCAGAGCAAAGATAAAACACAAGTCTCCTGACTCCTTAGACTTTATTGGTCTGAAGTGTTGGTGGTTTCAGCAAATAGTTATTAGCTTCCTAATACATTTAGAGCTTTAAAGTTCCTTTGGTTGAACTACATGATTAAGGATTTCAGAATAATTAAAGTCATGGGCTACTCAGAGGGCAACAAATAGAGAGGCACATGGTTGGCAACAGACTGTAGCATATTCCCGAGGAAGGATTGACTACATTCCAAAAGCATCATAAAAAGATGTCATCCAAGAGCTGTAAAGCCTGAGAAGCAGTTAGACTCATTACATAACAAAAAAAGGGATCAGAGAGGGATAGCCCTCATGCAGCTAAGTGTAACATTGGATAGAGTCAGGAAGACCTGGGTTCCAATATGGCCTCAGATACTAACTTGCTGTGTGACGTTGAGTAAATCGTTTACTCTCAGTTTGGCTCAATTTCTTCAACTGTAAAATGGGCATAATAATAGCACATACCTTACAGTGTTATGGTGAGGATCAAATGAGATGATATTTGTAAAGCACTTAGCACAAGGTCTGGCATTTAGAATGTGCTATATAAATGCTAGCTATTATTATCATTATTATTATTATTTCCTTCCTTGATACTTATACAATGTCAAAAGAGCTCAAGGGAGGTTCCCCTTCAAATGGACCTCCTGTGGAAGATTTAAATTAGACATGGATGAGCCCCACAGGATGAGTGACGGGCAGTGATGGGTGATAAAATCTGTGTCAAAGTATATGCAAGGCTGGTTGTAGTGAAGACAATCCTCTCCTTTGGATTCCATGTCCAACAGTCAATTTGCAAATCTTCCTCTTCACATCTCCCAACTCCTGAAGCCTATTGTCTCTCTTAGCTGAATATCTAGGGGAGCTAAATTTCCAGCATCATTGGACTTATGCCCAGGCCTGACCCATGATCACAATTCCAGTCATTGTCCCTTACTAGGGAAAAAGCTTTGTTATTTGAATAGTGAAAAGGGAATTCAAAATCTCCCGTATTCCATCAATATCTCAGCAAACATTGCTTCCCATTGGGCACAGGTTCATGCAACATTAGATTCAGCATAAAAAAAGAATATTACACATTTTAGACAAGGCTATTTAAGAAAAACATCAATACCCAGTTTTATGTTGTTAAGTCTTAAATAGGACAATAACTTCAAAAACTGAAATAGAAAGGCATTTCAAGGAAATCAGAGCATCAATTGTTTTTTAATAACTCAACATTATCTGCAGTTTATTTCCCCCCGAGGCATTTAGGGTTAAGTGACTTGCCCAGAGTCACACAGGTAGTAAGTGTTATGTGTCTGAGGCTGGATTTGAACTCAGGTCCTCCTGACTCCACGTCCAGTGCTCTATCCACTGCACCACCTAGCTGCCCCCATTATCTGTAATTTTAATTTTTACATTTAAATTAGCCACAGCCCCAGAATCAAAGTAGAAAATATGTGATGACAAACTCGAAACTGAATGTGAGCTTTTTGACAAATTGATTTCCTTTGTGTGTGTGTGGGAGAGGTGGTGGTTTGTTTTGTTTTACGTAATAGGAGGGAGAGCAGCCAGTTTTTCGCTTCCCCAGTTCACTGTCACTGAATTCCAGATTCTGAACAAGCTCCTTAGCTCAGTGTTTTCTAAATAGCTCTTTGGATTTCCCTTCAGGGCCTCGTAAAGGGCTTGCATGTTATGGTCTAGAATAGTAGTCTCCAAGGTGGGGGATATACATCCCCTGTGGGCTTGCAGGTGATGATCCAGCAGAGTGTGTGAAGAAAATATTAGAACTGAGGAGAGCAGCACAGTTGTTCTAGCTGCTAATAGCTACCATCTGCCTCTGCCATCCTCATTCTTTTACATGTACTGAGGGAGGGCTGCACTGGTCTGTCAGCTATGTTAGCTCCTCCACAGGCCCACCTGGCGCCATGAGTAGAATGAAATAGGATAGATTTCAATGGAATCTATAATGATTTTCCCCCAAGATATTCTAAAATAGATTTTTTTTTGCTTAAAACTTTTCCTTAAAAACTATTTTTAACCAATTGCATTCTTACTAGGTCTTACCAATAAAATAAATTATATTGTACTCTTGGATAGGGTTTGCAAAGGCATAAGATTATTTGGAATATGATTTTCTTTTCTTTGGGAGGGGGAAGACAGGTAGAACAAATCATTATGAATCATCCTGTTTGGAACCATTTGACTCTGAGGTTAGGTTCTATTACATGAATCCATAAAATTTTCATAAAATCTAGATATGTTGCCTTCAGGTTAGGCCCTGGGCAAGCCTGTTGAGCAGACAAAGTTCTACCTCTTTGTGACTCCCAATATGGATGACAACAGACAAGTGGTAGGAACATATCTTTAGAGCTGAAAGGAATCTTAGAGACGGGCCACTGAGTCCAATACACTTCTTTTACAGATTGAAGGAACTGAGGCACAGAAGTTTAAGAGACTTGCCCAGTCTCATTTAGCTACTAAGTATCTAATTCCAAGTCCAGTCTCCTATCCATTACACCATGTTGTCTCTCAAAGTATGAGCTTTAGTCCTCTCACTTGGAATATGGCAATGATTCTTGCAGTTCTTACTTCAAAGATTTGTGAAGCACAAATGAAATTATGTATTCAATGCTTTAAAGCACCATGTAAATGTTAGTTATTGTATTGCCCACTTGTTTATGATGTTAGAAAGCACAAAAACATCACCAGAAACGCCAATGAATGTTGTGCATTATAATGATACCCTCGAAAAGCACAGATGGCGCCATATTGTCAATGAATACACACAGGATCAGCTAAAGTAACAGCTGGATCACATGGCAGCTAACGAGTTTTGATTTCAGGGATACCACAAAGAATCACTGTTCAAAGTAACACCTTTTCTAGTCTCTTTTCTATGGAAGAATTTGAAATGCCTTTAACATTAAAAACATACACACACACTTTTATTTAACAGCCTTTTAAAAATTTTCCAAGAAAGGCAAATCTCCCCTCTCTGCCCATCACAAGTGCTTTGTATTTTACACTAAGATATAAATGACTGATATATCTTTTTCTCCCAGGAACTCTTGCTAGGAAAGGGCACTGGGGCTGGAAGAAGAGGGAATAATGTGAAAGGAAAGGGGTAAACAAAGGGGAACGGAAACTGAATTTCATGTACTTTGCAAGCTTGCCCGGGACCTAACCTGAAGGCACCATATAGGTTTTATGAGATTTTTAAGGATTCATATGATAGAACCTAACACAAAGTCAAACGGTTTGAAGCAGAAGATGATTCATGATGATTTGTTCCACCTGTCTTAACTACTCCCAAGAAGAGAGAAAAGCAAAATCCAAATAATTAATCCCAGGCCTTGGTAAACCCCATCCAAGAGTACAATATGATTTATTTTGTTGGCAAGGCCCAGTGAGAATGTAATTAAGAAAAATTGTCTTATAAACAAAATAAAAAACATTTTAAAAGATCTTGGGAAAATGAATGCAGATTCCATTGAAATCTATCCTATTTCATTCTATTTAAGGAATTCTCCTCTCCTATTGAGATGAGATGAGTAGAGTTCTAGTCCCAGCTAATGCTATCTCTATGACCATGGGCAAGTCAGTTTGTCCGGCTGATGCTCAGTCTACTTATCTGTAAAATGGGAATGATACTACTACTATTACCTACCTTGGACAGTGGTAGTAAAGAAAAGCTTTCTAAACCTTCTGATGCCGTAGAACTCCAGGTTATATTTATTATAATTATATGTCTCATCTTCATGTATCTTTGGAGGCTGAGAGAGGCCAAAAAAAAAAAAGAGGAAAGGTACATATACCCTTTGAAAACCTCAAGATTTCCAGATGAAACATACACACCTACCTGTAGATTCTGAAGACCTCCAAATGCTGTAAATAGAAGCAGAAATCCAAAGGATACCACAAGAACATTCTTTAAGTTTCTTTCCATTTTGGTTATTGAAAACCTTCAGTCATCAGCTGAGGGGATAAATCTGTAGTTCCTTAAGTAACCAACCAAAACTTCAGAGGGAAAAAAGAGTCTGGGCTTTGACGTGACAGCTTCCCTTCTTCATCTAAAGAGAAAGAACTTGTGTTAGCCATGAGGGCTAGTCAATGAACTTTGTTATCACTAACATCCAACACTCCCACAAAGAATTGTTAATTATTCACTTTCTCTGGAACAGCAACAGCAATTTTCCCAACAGGACAAAAGATGAGGACTTTTGACAAATGGTGTGTGTGTGTGTGTGTGTGTGTGTGTCTGTGTGTGTGTGTGTCTGTGTGTGTGTGTGTCTGTGTTTTTTCTTTCCGAGCAGACAAGGCCCCACAAACAAATGATGATTCTATACTATGATTATAGTGGGCTGACATCTATGCATCTATGTAATGTGCAGAAATTGGTGTGGTGGTACAGAAAAAGTAAACTATTTTACTCCAAAATAACAAAGAGTAAATTCCAGTTCTTGCTCCTGAGAAAAGCCAACATGATTATAAGACACTGTTGATGGTCAAAGACTTCTTTATTATGACACACAAACTAGAGATTATATAATATAGCCAAAACCATAACAACTTTTCCCACATAAAAACTTCTGATTTGACCTTAGAAGGTTAATTTTTAAAAGCTTGTGATTTATGCCATTTAAAAATCGGTTTGAATTTGCATGACAATCCTTATGAACTATGGCAAATATAACCAATGTGTATAGCGATGGAAATCTGTTTAAGATAGTGCAGACTTTATGCCTTGGGGGGATTAACCATCTCCTGTGTCCCCCTTTCCCTTCGAAGCCCCATACTAGGTTAGATGGTGAGAAGGAAATCATCCAGCTTGGGAAAAAAGACTTAAGTACCATTCTTCATTCTAAAGATCCAAGGTACTAATCAATAAGTAATCCCTGGGGTAAAAAGCTGTAGATCCCCAAGGGTGATAGATTCAAAAGACATGGCAAAATACAGAATGGTAGCTTTTGGAGCTGGGAAGGAACTCAGAGATCTAGCTCACTCCCCTCATCTTACTGATTGGAAACCTGGGGTCCAGCAAAGTGACATGATTTAGTAGATATCACACAGGTACTAAATGACAGCGCCACGATTTGATCTGAGATCTTTCAATTCAAGATCTAAGCCGTCTTTACACTGATTTTATCTAATCTGAGTTTGGTAGCAATGGGTAAAAAGCCAGGGTGATTTTGTAAAAAAAAAGGTCAGGGAGCAACTAGGTGGCGGCTAGGTGGTGCAGTAGATAGAGTACCGGCCCTGGAGTCAAGAGAACCTGAGTTCAAATCTGGCCTCAAACACTTGACGCTTCTTAGCTATGTGACCCTGAGCAAGTCACTTAACCTCAATTGCCTCACAAAAAAAAAAGGAAAAAAAAAAAAGAAAAGGTCAGGAAAACACTAGAAAGAGAAAATTAAAGCCCGGGGAACAAGTGGTGAGATGCTAGCTATAAGCCCTGCCCAGTTGACAGAAGTGTAATGAAATTGTGGATTTTGCATTCTTTCTCTTTCCATGAGGTTAATAAACCTTGTTTTATATAAACTATGTTTCTACTCCACCATTGGGCAGCTAGTTGGTGCAGTGGATAGAGCACAGGGCCTGGAGTCAGGAAGATCTGAGTTCGAATCCGGCCTCAGATACTTCCTAGCTATGTGACCCTGGGTGAGTCATCTATTCCTATTTGCCTCAGTTTTCTCATTTGTAAAATGAGCTGGAGAAGGAAATGGCAAACCACTCCAGAATTTTTGCCAAGAAAACCCTAAATGGGGTTAGAGTAGGCTATGACTGATTAACAAATATCTGTTCTGTCATCCAGCATAGCATTTTGAACACAGTAAATGTTTATTAAATGCTGTTGCTCATGGGATCAATCAACATGCATCTATCGATCACTGACTATACTGTAGGCAATGTGCTAGACCCTGGGGATACAAATATAAAGTCCCTGCCCTCAAGGAGCTTACATTCTAGGATCATATAATCAGAGCTGGAAGGGACCTAGGAGTTCATCCTGCCCAACCCCCTCATTTCATAGATGGGGAAAACGAGACCCAGAGAAGTAAAATGACTCGTTTGTGGTGTACCAGTTGTAAATGGCAGAGCCAAATGTTGTTTGGCCTCTAAATATATCATGTTTTGTAATTTTTGAATGCTTCTAGAGGTCATGGTTTGATGGATTATCATTGATGAAATGTTTTAACCCTCCTGAGGCATGGACATTATACACGAATTCCTTTTTTTTATTCCTTTTTTGTTTGTTTGTTTGTTTTGAGGCAATGAGGATTAAGTGACTTGACCAGGGTTACAGAGCTAGTAAGTGTCTGAAGTCAGATTTGAACTCATGTCCTCCTGACTCCAAGTCTGGTGCTCTATCTACTGCTCCACCTAGCTGCCTCCACCTTTTTTTTTTTAATACTGTAAAACATCTCAGTTTATATTTTCATGGAAATTGCCAATAGCATACCATTTGACTAATATTCACTTAACTCCTTCTAGTTGAATTATCATCTGCATGGAAATAGCTCCCAGATAAATGTATCTAATTTTATTCTCTTTTCTGAACCCAAGTCTTTCATCACTCATTGCAGTGGAGAGAGTACCAGGCCTGGAGTCAGGAAAACTCATCTTCCTGAGTTCAAATCTTACTCGCTAAGCTATGCTTGCTAGCTGTGTGACCCTGGCAAGTCACTTAACCCTGTTTACTTCAGTTTTCTCATTTGTAAATTGAGCTGGAGAAGGAAAAGGCAACACTTCTGTATCTTTACCAAGAAAACCTAAATGGGATCATGAGGATTTCGACATAAATGAAAAACCACTAAACAACAAAAACTTTATCTCTCTCCTGATCCCATGTCCCTTATCATTCATTTTTTTGTTTGTTTGCTTGAGGCAATGAGGATTAATGGACTTGACACACAGCTAGTCACAAAGCTAGTAAGTGTCTGAGGTCAGATTTGAACTCATGTCCTCCTGACTCCAAGGCTGGTGCTCTATCCACTGCACCACCTATCTGTGCCACCTTTTTTAATACTGTAAAATATCTCAGTTTATATTTTCTTGGAAATCACCAACAGCATATGATTTGACTAATATTCACTTATTCATTAACTGTAGAACTCAATGGGAGCAAGAAATGAGTAGGTATTTCCTGGAGATCTATTCATTTAAACTATTTTGGGGATATTGTTTATTCTATTGAAACCAAAAATCAATTAATCAATCAATCAATAAAATAAAAGACCTTATAACGACAAAAATCCTTAACCTTTGTTGAACTGACTCCTGAGATAAGATGCAGGCTAATGGCCTTTAACTACTTGATATGTGGAAGTAAAATTACCCACATTGTCATCGAAAGAATCCCAATTTGTATGCTACTTAAGAAGAGCATAATCACTACACAGATTAAAGGAGAAGAAATTGGATCTTTGCTGACTGTGGCTTCCAGTCTGCTCCTCTTACTAATCCCTCTTTTAATAAAATAAACAGATGAATCCAATATTAAAATCCTCCTTTGGCAAGTACCCTACTGGGTACTGTCTTTCCTTGAATGTGCTTAACCATAATTTGATTTCTGAACAATGGGCCTAAAGTTCATTGATGTGACTGCTCTTCAGAAAATTGCTGCTAAAGTTTTCTTAGAGAGCAGAGCCCTAAATTCTAGATGTCACTGCCACATTTTACAACAGAGATGGCAATAGTTACTCTTCCCAGTTTTTCCTCTGCCTCTCTAGTTGTTTCTCAAAATCCTTTTTGGGCTCTTCCATGGCCTGGGACCAATTCATGTTTTTTTCGTGGAGGCTTTGGATATAGGAGCTTTGACTTTGTTGTCTTCTTCTGGTTGTATGTTTTGATCTTCTTTGTCACCAAAGAAAATTCTGTGGTCTCACTTTTTTTTGCACTCTTTGCTCATATTCCCAGCCAATTACTTGAGTTTTAAACTTTTTGTTAAGGTAGGGGTCTGCTTCCAGTGTGGAGAATGTACTATCCCAAGCTTCAGGGGTTTTGTGCATTGTTTTCAGAGATACTTCTAGGGACCCATAAATTTTCAGTTCTTCCAAGGTGGTACGATCAAGGGCAAGGTGTTTACTCCTTTTCTGGCCTGTGCTCTGGTCTATGAATGACCCCAAGCACTCTTCTCTGCTTTGGAACCATGAGGAGGATTCCCTCTCCACTGCCACTATAAGCTCTATCATGCCAGCACTCCTCCTCACCCCAGCACTGCCACCCAGAACTGTGACCCAGTCCAAGCATGGGCAAAGTAAGAGAATCCTGCCTCAGCACCAGCAAGGAGATCCCTGCAATCTCCTTCTGATCAGCTACCCAATTCCCCCTCCATCTGTAGGCCAAGAGTTCAGGAAGCAGCCGCCGACCCAGGACTGTGCCAGGACTGGGGCTGGGACTGAGCTTCTCTTTCACCGTGGTCATAGACTTTTCCTACTGACCTTCTAAGTTGTCTTTGGTGTTTGTGGGTTGAGAAGTCTGGAAACTGCCACAACTGCCCATGATTCAATCTCCTGAGGTCTGTTTCAGGTTCACTGAGGCCTAGTTTTTGCCTGCACACCCATGCTGAACTGCATTTCTCTCCCAGTGCAATGGACCTTTCCAATCCACCATCCAGGTTGTCTTGGGCTGGAAATGTGTTTCACTCTGTCTTTTTGTGGGTTCTGCTGCTCTAGAATTTGTTTAGAGCCAAAGGGGTCCATAACATCAAAAAGGTTAAGGAATCCATTTTGAAGACCTCATTCAGACTACTTGTTTTGAACAAGCTGCTTCTTTGAAATACTGGTTATTATCATATCTCTCTGTGCATATTAAGTTACTTTACCATTTTTTTCAGCTTCTGTCTATCCAGGAGACCCTGATGTTGATATTTAATATTTATTTGCTGAAGAGAAAAGTTAAAGACAAAAAGAAAATTTGGCCCCCAACAATAGTTCAGAGGATTTCTAATAGCAAGATTATCTTCTAGTTTTCCATAAAATAAAAGCTCCTTGAAGGCAGGGACTATTTTTTGTTTGTTTGTTTGTTTTGTATCTCCAGCACAGTGCCTGGAAAG